GGGGGGGGAAGGGGTATGGCGAGGGAGGTGGTACTGTCGTGGGGTGGCGGTCCTATGTTCATTCAGTGTGTGTGGTCGGGTGGGAGGGGTAGGTTGGGATTAGCCGATGTGGTGTTTCGTTCTCACCACCTTTGTTGGAGTTTGTGTATGTTGTCGAGTGCTGTAGCGTGTGTGAACACGGAAGTTCACCGTGGGAAGGGTTTGAGTTCACTACTACAAGATAAACAACGCTTTGTCGGACTGATTCAGAGTGGCAATTGTTCAATCGCCGTTCTTTCCTAATCGTCCTCTTTTGCCCTATCTAGGACAGTCTTTTACTGTAGATCGATCCTCTACGGGTGGCGGAAGGTAGAGGATGTCCGTGTTTGTCTTCCTCAACAGTGTGTGTTCTAAACTCGGATGAAGACAGTAATATGTGTCTGTTTGCTCTAATGACGTCTCTGGCTTGGCAAGAAAATTACCACTGACTTGTCTCAGCTATTCCTTTTTAAGCGACCAAGGCTACGAACGACGCGTCTCACGTGACAGGAAACTCGATGGCAGTAGGGATGTAGTTTGTAGAATGGTCTGTCTTCTCCTCTTGGCATGATGATGGCGACTTCTTGCTTGATCACTTGTCGTTTGGTGCTTTTCTCGTCTCCCCTTGCTCGCTGAATTTGTTGGATGTTGGGCCGGAAGTCGGTACTTACCTGGAAATTCCGACGGGAACGCTCTGACCTTGTAGGGTGTAATGATGAGGCTGTTAGGCGCTAAGATTCTCCTTGCTTCCCGCTTGGCTGCCGTTCTTGCTGGTCTCTCGCTCGGTCTATCCTTCTTTCCCCCAATTAGAAGGTTTCTCTCACGACCCTCTACTCCTCTCCCTCCTATGCTTGCTTTGTCTTTTCTTTTACTTAGGAGAGATACTTCCGCCTGATCCTCTACTTCTCGCCTTCCTGTCACATTTCTTTCTTTCTCCTTGACACTGTTTCCATTGTTAGGCTTGGAGAGGCCATGCCCGTGGGCGTGGCGGAACTTGGAAGAGTGAGTTTTCTCGCCCCAGGTGGTTCGTGTTACGCAAGTAGATACAAATTGGGGGCACGTGCGTCTGCGCGTGGTGTCGCACGCTCGCGCGTTGCCTGAGGCGAAAGAATGGTCGTGGGCAGTGCATGCGGTGGCGCGCGATGGCGGGTGTGAGAATTAGCGGACCTTTGCAGCGCTAACCGGTCACGGCACTGGCGCCGCTTGGCCTATATTTCAAGTCCCATTGTTTAGTTTATTTCTGCTTGTGTGCACACTGCAGCATAGGCTAAGCTAGTTGTTCACTGTCATGTAAGCATTACCAGCTCTCCTTTCTCTCTTCCATTTACTGAGGTGTTGGAATTTGATATTCATGGAATGCCTGTGATGTTCTCGTCTGTGAATTTCACGCTTCAATGCTGAATGACAAAAGTAGCAACTTCCTCACCCATCTTCTCGTTCACACCTGTCAATAATTGCTGATTAGAACTACCTCCTATGGGACTACTCTACCACTATGAAGCTCTCTCTCTCTCTCTCTCTCTCTCTCTCTCTCTC